CACAGTGTTGTAGATGAAAGATATCACTTTAATACCAGATGACACCAGGATCAAGTGTTATCTCAACTCACAACAAACTCAATGACCTGATTCACACGTAACATCAATTCATGAATCAGACAACCCATGAATTGGTGGGGCTACTCAGGAGCAAGCAAGTGCATTGTCTCCCATCTAGTCACCAATTCCACTTTCCAGAACAAACCAGGAACACCCCATTCCTGGGTCATTAAATTTGACACCTGAATTTTGCACACCGGGCAGTTCAAAAAAAATCAGCCCAGAGTTTTAGTCCAGCAACAAACCATAGGTTTAAACTCTTGGTTTTTTTAATGTTCAGCATCCCAGAGTTCATGGTACAGAAAGCTGATGCAAAGCAGAAGCAAGAGTGTGTGAGAGGCAGTGTACTCACTCCAGTTCAGGCAAACTACCAATTCAACCAGCAACCCACAGCTTGCCCAATCAGGCCAACACTGGCCTGAGAGAAGCCAACGTATTTCCAGCCCAAGCTGTAATGCGGCAGGTGATACTGGACTACCTAACAAGGCTAGAATAAGGATTACTGAAATTATGGGATACACTTGCAAGGTCTGAAATGCTCTGTGTAAAACCAAGTAATATTACTTTGCTTTAAAATTTACAACTTCCTTCTTTAGCAGTTTGTCAGCCCAAGCAGTTTTCAACAGAAATGGCAATAAAACTGAAGAATGAGTTTCAATGAGCACCTATTTATATGGGCAGACAGACAATAAATTGAGATGATGCTTCAGATTTATGTATTATATATCACTCTAATATAGCCCCGAGGAGCTTACAATCCCTGAGGAGCTTACAATCTAAAATGTGACATAGGGAAACAGCAGCAGAATGGGAGGGTGACTCTAACATCTGGGGTGCCATTTGTCCCCCATCCCTGTTTTAAAAGGTTGTCAAGAGCATCCTGAATTAACCTTCCAATGTGGACAGTGGCAGCCTCTGGAGAAAAAGACTGGAAAATCTCAGGGGCACTTATCTCTCACACAATGTGTTTCTGCTCAGTGCTACTATGCTTCTGTCCTCTAGGCTTCACAGCAAACATAATAACATTGAGAGATCAGGTGGAGTCATTTAGATTAATCAAAAATGCTTCGTTCCTTTGCTGTTAAATACCAGAAAACATCCCATGAGAAAATAAACTTCTTTCTTGCCCCCCCCCCCTTTTGGTTTAAAGTGTGGTATTTCTTTCGAAGCTCCACAACATAAATATTTAATCATTTAATAGTCAGAAATTCTGTTTCAAGCCAGATTATACATTTTGGTCAGCAGCAGACCATTGGAAGACATTTGGTTTCTATTGCATGTTGGCAAGAATTCACACTTTGTGTCTTGTGGCCGACACAGCCAATTCTTGGAGCTGCTGTTAACAAATTCACAAAAATAAGGATAAAGAAAACAGTGACTACTGCTATTTGCCTAAGCTACAGTGCAGAAAAAAATTAAATGTTCTTTCCCATTTTATCATATTAAAGAGCAACAGGTACATCATTCACTGCTAGCCAAGACAGCTAGAACGGAGCGCCAAAAGTCCACAGGTGGTACGTTTCAGACTGACAGACATCATAGAAAAGCAAGAAGAAATGGCTGTTACCATTCTGCTTGCTTGGCTGTCCACTGATGGGAGACAGAATTCTGGGCAAAATGTATCTTAGCTCCTGATGCAGAGGCAACACTAGGGATCCATCCAGGCACAAATTACTATTATCCAGGGAGGCAAATAGGGCTATGCTTGCTGGCTTCCAACCTGTACCTTCACCAGTCCCATCCATGCATGGAGCCAGGCATCTGCAGCAGGGAATCCACTCCGTACTGTGTTGTTCTCACAACACAGAACTTGACTGTGTAGAGTTCAAAATAATGCAGAAACCGATAGCCATTACGCAGGCTCCAATCTTCCAGATGCTTTGACCAATGCACAGATAGTGGAGAGCCACGTCCGGGAAAGACACAGGAGCCAGAAGCAAGCACTGCTCTGCTCTTTCTTTCATGTAATAACTGGGTGTGGATGATGGTAATAGAATGAGAATAGGATGAATGCCTGTATATCACTAGTGATTCCCTGTAAACCATGATCTACAGAATCAAAGTTCACTGCAGGAACTTGCACTCCCCTAATGAACCATGGTTTCGTTGAACATTGAAACATTTATCCCATCCCCCCCAAAAAACCCCAATTTATAAAAGTTGCTCTCTCACAATTTATAAATATAAATCCACAATGTATCACTGCACACATGCAGATCTCTTTCAGCATCTGATGATGCAATACAGAAAACCACACCAGTCTGAAGTAAGACTTTCAAGGAGAACTATATTAATTCTTCACTATTTAGAAGAGGTTGCCAGGTTCTGTAATCCGTGGGGTCATTATGTTCTCCCAACACCAGTCTGAGGAGTTGGAACAATCTAACCTGGCTCATAGGCTGTATTACAGGTCAGGTTCTTTTATAAATTAGACATTTTCTAACAAGAAGTACTTCACAGATACGCAACATACATGTGCACCCTGATCATTTCACCAGTTTGTTTAAAAGCATATCTAAGCTGCAATATCAAGACGGAAAATAAGAGGCATAAAAGACCAGCTATGCCATAATACAATAACATCATAAAACAACACTGCAATAAAAACAGGTCATAGGTATATTAAAAAAACACAGAATGAACTAAGCAAACCCATGTAAATACTTTCAAATGCCTGAGGAAATAAGCAAGTTTTAACCTGATGCTGAAATGGGATGAGGTCAGTAAGCACCATTGGTGAAGACTACCTCCCTTTACAGCCAAAGTATTCTCAAACTGAGTGAATTAGGAACATTAGTATGTGCATTTGTTTAAAAAAAAACTGTGGGGCTAATTAAATGCATATTTATAATTAGAACTTAATAATTTGCATCGGGCACAAATGCACCCTGATTTCAATCTATAGCACATTTAGATTTGCCTGGAGATCACATAATTTGATGTTTTACAGTCTTCCTCTCCCTCAGATTAGCAAGTAATAAAGTCATCTTTTTAAAGCTGTGGTGGTTCTGGTGGTGATAGTAGGATGAGAGAGAGAGAGAGAGAGGGAGGGGGGGAGAGGGAGAGAGAGAGAGAGAGAGAGAGAGAGAGAGAGGGAGGGGGAGGGGGAGAGGGAGAGAGAGAGAGAGAGAGAGAGAGAGAGGAGTGTGCTAAGCAGAAGCTTGCAATGAAAATGTTTGACAATGCAGAAGCAACCATAAATTACATGACAACTGTGTAAAAGTCATGATGAAAACAAATAAAGAGCTGACCTATAATGCATCTGATTCATTGTGGCGTATAGAACTCTCCGGCACTGATGGCTGTGCGGCAAACTCCTTCTCAGAAGCAGAACTACTTAGCACGGAGAGAACTGTAAATTATCGCGAGTCAACAGCATTGATTTTTAGTCGACATTTCAATCAGTTTGAACTAGAAATACTACACCGCTCATCCGGCAGCCTCTTAAGCGAAGCTGCCTGCTCCTCTCTGGAGCCCTTTTCTTCACTTACAGAGCTCTTTAAATCCCCCATTGTTTCCACAGTATACTATTTATTGTGGAATCTCCAGGCCCAGGTACTTGACCTGAAGGTCACTGGCACATCTCATGGGACATTCCAAGTTAACTTCACTGAGCTTGAAATTCACCCAAACACGGAATATGTGAGTCTATGGACAGCTCCTCTAGGGCGAAAGGAATTGGTGTTGAACCAAAGTCTGGTTTGCCAACCCAACGGTCAGAAACTGTACAACCTCTACAGCCACATGACACTCTGGTGCCCTGGGCAGAGGGCAAACCTTTCTTTCTAATATGTATGCATCTGTTCTATTTATATCTCTCCTTGCCCTGAAGCAGTATACCTGATTCCACCTCCTCATCACCACAACATCCTCACAGGGTAGAATGAGAGACCCTACCTGGCCCAAAGTCCCTCAGTGAGTTTATAGCCAAGTGGGGACCTGAATCTGGGTTTCTCTAGTCCTGCTCCAGCCTCCACACTTGCTCTCGAGACATTCCATTGACCAGCCATGTTGTTCTAGCTCAGACAAGGTGAGCCATTTTAGTCTGATTAGAAACTAACAGGCAAGAATGGTTGGATGAAGCCATTACTCCTCAGGGTTCTATCCTGGTTGTGTAAAGGAAGAAAGGAGGAAGGCTATCAAGATTAAATCAGGGGGCTAAATCCCTCTACTGGCATAAACAGGGTCTGTTCAAGCAAATGGGATAAACTGGGTTTTCTTTTGGATGCATCATGACTTAGAACACTATCTTGCTAAATACCTAAATATGCAAATAGGCTGAGATTCTGTAAACAGTTGCAAGTCTCAAAAGTGTTCCCTGTGACTCCTGAAAAGCACCATGTGGTTTTATTTCTCAGAATTTGCCACAATAATTGTTGCTTATTTTCATCCTGGATAGTATACTTTTAAAGTGCTATTCTTTTAAGGTTATTGCTCACTGACTTTTATTGTAATTCATCTTTTTATTGGTTATTACACTGAAATTGTATTTTAATTTTGTAAGTCACCTAAAGATATCACTCTCATCTAGGGCAACCTAAAAACCTTTTGGATAAACAAATATAAACCTCTTTGGTGCCCACTAAATTTCACTAAGGAACATTTTCAGATTGTCTCGAACTGTCCTCTATTTTCCAGGAAGTGAATTATTTTTAGGAATTGACCCTTACAGCAGACCATTCCAGTTCTGTTTTAATAAAAGTCTTTAACTCTGTAAAGGTTTAATGCAGACTTAATGCACATTCCTACAAACCATGTTCTGTCTAGCCCTAGGCCCTCCCTCCTTGGTTTGGTACAAATCTTTCTCCTGTTATCAGTAAAAAGTTAAGACACTAACCATGGCTAACAAGCCACATTTCAAACTTAGTTCTAATTCTACTACAAAGACAACCCTGGTTAATATGAACCATGGTTACTGTTGGAACAGCATTAATACTCACCCATGGTTAAGGCAAACAAAGAGAATTCACTGGGGAAGAACAGGGTGTGGAGAAATGATTGTTCCCAGTGCTGGCTCCCACTGTGCAAACCTAAGATTTTGCAAGGAATCAGTGCTACATTTAGATCAGAGTAAAGATCTGGAAAAGATTTATAATACATGAATTCATTTCCCCCAAAGGTGAACCACATATTTTCCATAAGGTATTAAGCCTTGAACGTAACTTCTCAGCTCTCGTTACACAGGGTTACTTTAAACACTGTTTCGGCAACTTACAAACAACCACAGTTTTCCCATCTTAGAGGGGAATTTAAAACAAAGCAAGGGAATGCTTATGAAGTTCTTGGCAAGAAGAAAAATGTAACGAGACTTACAGCTAGAACTTTGCAACAGCCAAATGGCTAGCTGGTCTGCATACTGAGCCACCCCAGGGCCAACAGCAAGCCAGGTGTATTCACTCATAGAAAGCAAAATAAACATCAAGGCAGTGATCAGAACAGGTGCAGATGGATGCACCACTTAAGAGGGGAGCATCCACCCACTATCATCCACTGTCTAGGTACCTTCTGGGGTACGGGGGGCAGAGTCGGAGACTGCCATCGGGTAACAACATTTATTTAGGCCTGCTACTCCACACACAGGAGCTACACAAAAGAGCCTTGGATGATTGCAATTAAGAGAACTGTGAATTTTGGATACTCCATTGCTCAGTTCAAAGGAAACATAGCTCTCATGTCAGAAACCTCCAGTTTTCAAGCAAGCGGCACACAAAGATGGGCCTGAGAGAGTGTAAGCCATTGTCTCCAGCAAAGAAGCCAACCTAGCACTCAGCTTTTTAAATTGCTTCTGCCAGGCAGGCTGTTAGCTGGAAGGTTGCTAAATCTGCATGATTCTTTTAGAACACAGAGTACAAAATCAGACATAGATATCAGACAGGTGTCATGGAACACCAAGAGCCTGTGTACTATTTTAAGAAGCAAAGTCTCTAGTACTCATGGAAAATCTGACAAATCTCAACTTGAAAAATAAACCTGGTTTACTAAATAGCTGGAAAACTGAGGTGATTAGATGGGAGTTCAAGAGTGTCTGCATCTTTTTCTTCAGCCATCCATCTCTAGCCACACTTCCCCATAATACTTTATGCCTCAGCACAAACAGACTGCATTATACCCACCCAAAACTATATTCAACAGAAAATTTCCAAACTCTTCCACAACTATCTCAAAGCAAAGTATATATCCTATGGTACGTTAATGTAGACATATAGGAATTATTTCCTTAATTTCTCCATTACAAAATTTCAGGATTTTCAGCTCTGGAGCCAGCCTACAAATCTGAGGATGGGTACCAAGAAAGTAGGGGTGGCAGTTCATCTGATTTACAAGTATTTTTAAAGATAAATTGCAAAATGTTTTCAAATCATTAGCTTGTTTAAAAAGAAAAAAGTAGGAAAAGAACATTTAGGGGAGCAGCACCCCACCAGCCCATCCCTGACTGGAGGCCCAGGCAGAAAGAGGGTTGAAGAACAAGCAGCTCGAACTTTTTTTCCTACCGAAGAACATATGTCAAATACAAATAAGGTATTTTCCTTTCACTGCAGGTATTCCTCTGAATTTTTCAGCCTTGTTACCTTTTCTGCCAGCAAAGCTTCTGCCTCACAGGCAGAAATTCAACACGTGTAGCCTTCCCTAGATTATGGCTCCCTAAGCAAAGAGCAATCACAGAAATTAACCACCAACTATCATTCTTGTTTAAAATAGAAGAACCTAAGAGCATAAAGGATTAAAGGCATTCACACACACTTGGGGCCCAGCAGAATTGTGGTCACCTTCATTCATAAAAGCCGGCTTTGTTAAAAGCAGCTTCTGACAAGTCATTTTACAAAAAGGAAAAAAAATCTCTTAAACAGAAGCAAGAACTACACATGTTCATTCAAAAGGAAAAACATTTAACAGTTCAGAAAGTATGTAGTCTTCTGAGGGCTGTTACACCAGTTTGCCACACTTTTCTGTATTTAGCCATCACAAATGGCTAAAATTTCTTAAGTGACATGGCAAAATTATCTCTCCGCATTATGGGCGAGCTACAAAAAGAAATACTTCACCATGTAAAGCAGTTGAGAGTAGCTCCACAAAGCAACTATGCACAAGCCCTCAAAGGAAAAAGCAACCAGGAATAATCGAGAACATCGAGTTTGCAGCAGTTCCTGCACCTTAGCAACAAATCCAGCTGCACCTCACAATGTTATTGATCAGTCTGGAGTAAAAGTGATGCTTTTACAACTTAATGACTATGTCATAAATTTACCTCACAATTTGCGGCCTATGAAATATCCACCAATTCTGCCCTCTTTCCAAGCTGGTTACCATGGTGGCCACCAACCATGAAGTAAAACTGAACTCTGTACGTTGTTACCGTTTCATCACAAAATTATCTCACGCAACACACCCTGTGAAATATCCGCAGGTAAACAGTACTTGCTTCCCTCCAAAGATTACAGCAAGCAGCACACTCTTTTACATTTTATGCTGCATTTTTAATGTGCTGTTCCAAACCACCCGGAGAGCTTCGGCTACTTCCGGAGTACAGAAAATAAGTAATAATGGCGGTGGTGGAGGAGGCCTAGAGGGGACTAGAACCCAGATCTACCAGATCCCCAGTACAACATTTTTAACCACCACACTGGCTCCCAGGTGTCAGCACAAGCGTACCACCTGATTAACAAGGCAAAGGTGTATGAAGGGCTACTGTGACGAAATGTCTGGGCCAGCTGGTTCTGATACTGCCAACTGCTGTGTCCTTGGGTAGCGCTACACGCTGCCATGGCTTCTGCTCAGCAGGATGGCCCCTCACTAGCAGTTAGTCTGGAGTGGACCAGCACAATTCACTTGCGGGCAGCGTCTGGTACACTGAGCTCAGTTCACCAATCCTGGATTTCTTTGTCCTGTGTATCTAAATCTTGCCTTTTTTCCTTCTGAGCAACTCAAGACAGCTTCCTCTGCGCCTCTCAATTCTATCCTTGCAACAGCAACCCAAGTGAGGTAGAGTGGGCTGAAAGTCTGACTGGCCCAAAGTCACCCAGTTAGCTCCATGACTGAGTGGGGACCAAGACCCAGATCCCTTGAGTCCTAGGTCTGCACTCTTAACCACTATGCCAGGATTATCGCAGGACTGTGCCAAAAATTACATTTAGCATGCAAAAGCACTACAGCTGCAACCCACTAATTATTTAAGAGATCAGTCTTATGCATGCTTGGACAGAAAAAAGCCCCAGCATTCCCAGCATTCCCCAGTCATGCAGACACATGGGGGACATGAAAAGCCATCCACAGTTCTCACAGTCGCAGCTACCCCATACCGACTTCACCAGCAGCCATCAAGTGGCAAATGGTGTCATTAGTCACAAGAGGTCTGAGGTGCCCCTATATGATAGCAAAAATAATTGGACAAGACATGCCACCAGGCCTCATGAAATGGCTTTATCCTCTGGCTTTCTCAGTCCCATACTATGAACGTCTGGTTCATATTATCACAAAGCATTATCCCCGTAAGTTAAACAAGTCTTCAATGGCAAGATGCAGTTGCAAATCATGAAATCTCTCTCACTTACATGGAACACACCCATCCTTCTCTCTCTCTCTCTCTCTCTCTCTCTCTCTCTCTCTCTCTCTCACACACACACACACACACACACACACAATATACACTCACTTTAATTTGCCTCTTGGAAAAAAAAGCCCCTTTTTGTCTTAAGCCCTCAGGTTACTGGCACTAACACAATTCCTTTTTTTTCTTCTCTCATAGCAGCGAGCCAAGAAAGATGATAGAAGCCGTCTGCATGGCCCAGAGACTGGTCTCAACTGGTTTGGGAGAGTCGTAAGGGTGGAGGGATTGAGCTGTCTCTATCTCTTCCTCCACCCGCCCCACATTTTCCCCTTTAGCCAAAAGACATGGGAGCATTTGATGCACAGTCAGTAAGCATTAAAAAAAAAATACCGAAAGGCCCTGGCTGCTCCTGGGATGTGACACTCTCTCTTCATGCTCTGGACTTGAGCCAAGTTCATCCATTAATAGGCAGCCGCAGCCTTGGCCTGGCCCCCGCCTCGCTTTCCCCTCTCTCCTCCTCCACCCCCCATGCCGGCCCTTTTCCCTGACCCTCTCAGTCCTAAAAAACTAGACATCGATTATGTCTGAGCTTTTCCCTTTCCATTCAAGATAAACATAACGCTTCAAGTCCAGGGCACACCCTGGGACCCTTCACAAAACCATCTATCATCCTGTCTGCCAAACCAGTCAGGCCACACTAAGGCACAATAGAATAATGATCTCAATGTACAATTTTCCCTTTGTGTATGTGCCCTCTTACTACTAACCTCTTTGACTCCACTACTTTCTCAGGAACAGTTGCTATTGACCACAAAATCATTCTCTCCCTTTTCCTTTTTTCTTTTTTTCAGGAGTGGGTGTGAAGGTTTCGTCTGTTTCACTGTCCCTTTCTCAATCCTACCCTCTCCCAAAAACTCACGGTGGGTTGAAGTATGTTAAGGTAAGCAGGCAGGTAAGTGCTTCGCAAATTCATACACATGGCTTTAAACATCAAGTCTTCCTCATCACTAAGGTGGGGATGAGTCACTGCTTAAAAGTAAACACTCTACAAAGCACAGGCTAATTTTGGCTACCCAAACTTTAGGTTATTGCTAAAATGGGGAGCGGGGTCATGGTGGACAAGCCAGACACAAGTATCTGTCACTGGGTACAGCCACATGTCATGCTAGACCCTGATGGGTGAGTGATTCACTGAACTGTACACCTGACGCATCCTTCTGTCTCAGCACTACCAGCTCCAGCACCATCCTCGAAACCTACAAGGCAAAACCCATCTTCGTGCCTCCTTTCTGGTCGTGTTGCTACCACTGTTCATGTACCACCAGTTTCTTTCTTTTTTCTTTTCAGAGCCTCAGAAAAGTGCCACTGGAGTTCTAGGTTGTGGGAAGAGGGGTTGTTTTCACAGAACCTGAATGCAGTCTTTCCTAGTCAATTTCCTTGTCTGTTTCAGCCAGAGTCAAAAGTGGAGCAGGTAACAGACAAGGA